TACTATCACATATTTCCTTATCTTGAACAGCATTTTGATGAACAATCAGTAAATGAGTTTTTTAACTGCCTAGTTTCTTGACTAACATCATCCAGTTGGCTCCATCTGTGCAGAACTCTGCTCTCTGCAGTCCTTTCCTCCCCACAACACCTGCCTCACCTAGTAGACAAACTGTCACCTCAGCTGCCTCAGGTCTTTCAGACCCCCAGGCTCTGTGTGGTCTCCTCTCTGCCCTAGCTCAGGAATCCTCCAGGCAGAAAGCTGGGGTGGTTTTAGGCCTCACTTCTAACCCGGATCCCAGTTTTCTACTGCTTAGGTGCGGATGTCTGAGAATTATTGCTTCACGTGTGTGTCATTTTCTAGGATCTTGAGACTCAGTGGTAAATCTAGTCCCTGTTAGTGCATCTTTGATGTAAAAAGAAGTTCCATCCATTTTTATTAAAGCAAATACTGGGCTGGGAAGATGGCACAGAGCAGGTAGAAAAGCTTACCACACAAAGAACCCGAGTTTACATACCTGGAACCCACAACAAAAGACAGATGCAGGAGCACAGGTATCTGCTACCCCAGCAGTCCTCTGGGAAGTGGGAAGTGGAGGCAGGAGACTCTCCAGAAGCCCCAGGGCCAGCTAGGCTGGCTTACTCAGTGTGGAAGAGATCTCACATCAAAGGAGAGCTGCAAGGACTGGCACCCGAAGGTGGTCCTCTGACCTCCACTTGCGTGCCATAGCAGGTATGTACACTCATATGCGTACGCACACACACACACACACACACATTTTGCATACATACACACAAATAGCCTAATTAAATACAAATAAGTGATCTAGTTAAAGCAGGGAATTACATAAAATTTCTTTTTTTCTAATAAAACACAATTATGAAAATTATACAGTTGGATGCTAGATGTGCTGCTGGAAGCATTCCTCTCCTGTGTTCCCCCTCGGGCATCCAAAATCCCTACCCGCCTCCTCCAAAAATCCATGCCTAGTTCACAAGGGAAGCAGAAGATTAGAGACCTAGGCATTTTCAGACATGCATTCTATAAAACTCTACTGGATTTGCTCTGACATTTAATTATTCTAAACATTCTCTGTTCTTCCAAAAGCCAGATGAGCCCCCTGCCGAGGGCTACTTTAATTAACCCTAATAACTCCCATCTCTCTGGCTATAGGATTAGTAATTAAAGACCCATTTTTACCTCAGTCCCACACTTCAGTCAAAAATTACAGCTCATGGCCTCTGGGCCTTAGAGCACTCTTGAAAAATCTAATCAACACAGCCACCAAAGTCTTTTATAATTTGGACTTGGAGTCCAGTCAGCTAAAAAGGGAAAAGACCTAGATTTGAAAAGCAGCCCAATGTGAAGACCAACCTAGAAACTTGAAAGAAAAAGGTTCTGGTAATTGCTATGGTTGTGGGTAACTGGGACACTTCCAAAAGGATTGTACTCTGGTCCTGCCTTTTATACCAAGGAAACAACTCAGAGCAGGGGGCAGGGCAGGCTGACCTGCTCCATAGCCAAAGAACTCTGAGCCCAAAGGCACGTACACAGATGGTCTAGATGAACTGAAGGGGCCTAGGGCTTCTTTCTCTGACACCCACTATTTAAGCACCCATCACCCTGCAGAAGCCCCCAGAAACTCTCAATGTTGAAAGAGAGTTCGTCAGTCCCCTTCTTGACACTGAACCTCTTATTTTGTCTTGCTCTTGACCCTGACCACACCTTTTCCCAAACTGTACCTGCAGTAGGTATGTATGGCAAGCCTGTAACCAGTGCTTTTCTGTCCAGCTCAGTTGTAATTAGGAAGAACAATTCTTCTTCCATACATTTTTTTGAGATAGGGTCTCACTCCATAGCCCTGGCTGTCTTAGAACTCACAGAGATCCACTTTGCCTCTCCCTCCTGAGTTCTGGGATTAAAGGCTTGTACTACCATACCAGACACCTTTTTGTTTATGCCAGATGCTCCATCCTCATCATTAAAGAAGGACCTTCTAACCAAATTATGGACATCTAGGCTTATAGGCCCTGAGCCAACATTACATTCACCCTTAACGGAGGTAGATGTTAACCTTATGATTTAGGCTCCTGAAGTCTAATTAGGACAGCCAGCCACACAGTTTCACCTCTAGGAACCTACCTTTTTTCCCAACAAAGACAATATCCTTTGAGACCAGGGGCCTGAAATGCTTGCTTCCAACAATATATAATTTAAGATTTCAAGGTCTCTTGGTACCATGTAATAGCTTATATTATACTCCCATTTGGGGAGACTAGAAATCCAATGGGGAGTAGAGATTACTGTAGGCCCTCTATGTCATTAATGAACTATGATGTACATTTGTCCAGTAGAACCCAACCCCTATTCCTTATCATCCCAGATCCCAAAGGGAACCCACTGGTGTACAGTCTTTGATCTGAAAGATGCTTTCTTCTGCATTCCCTTGGAGGCAAACAATGTCTCTTTGCCTTCAAGAACCCACCAGATCGATCTACCCAACTGATTTGGACTGTATACCACAAGGACTCAAGGACAGTCTGCAATTACTTGGTCAAGCACTGTCCCAAGAACTTGCCCGCTTTGATTATCCAGACATTAGGATTTTACGACATATAGACAACAGTCTACTTTGTGACCCAACAGAAAAGAACAAACAAAATGGAGCCCAGGGTCTTCTTAACTTCCTTGCTGACAGGGAATATAGAGTTTTGAAGTCTAAATCTGAATTATTTAAACCTCTGGGGTTCAAGAGAGGCACAGAGTCATATTGTTTTTAGACAAGAGGTTTATTGGTGCCAACAACATGGTGAGGCTGGAAGAAAGCATGTTTTCTCGTGGTCTTTGTGACACAGTAGGAAAGGAGCGGTTGTGTGCCACAAGAACGTGGCTCTAAGGTTGGTTGACATCACCCAGTTAGAAAAAAAGACATTGTATTTTTTGGACTTTGGCTGAGGAAAATGTTCAGAAGGTCCAAGGACAGTTTGGGATAAGGCTTTTCTAGAACAGCTTGTGTGGCATGACAGTGTTCCTTCTGCCTCCGGGCCTGAAGGCAGGGGATCTGGGCACATAATTATCCTGCTTGTAGGCCTCTCTGTTTACGACTTTGCTATCTGGAAAGCTTGTTTCCAATAGGAACAGTCTGCCTACTTCTGCAGCATGGCATTCAAAGGCTGAGGCAGGATGATCACAGGTTCAAGGCCTGCCCAGGCTATATAGACAGGTCGTGGTCAACTTGAGCAACTTAGCAAGATTCTGTCTCAAAATAAACCTAATAAAGAACTACCAATCTGGCTCTGTGCCCGAGCACTTGCCTACCATATGGAAGGTTCTGGGTTCAATATTGGGGCTGAACAACATTAAACATACCCAAACTATAATATTTTTCCTTCCTATTTATCATAAGGTCAGGAAAACAATCCGAGCACTTGCCTACCATATGGAAGGTTCTGGGTTCAATATTGGGTTTGAACAACATTAAACAAACCCAAACTATAATATTTTTCCTTCCTATTTATCATAAGGTCAGGAAAACAAATTTGAGAAACTGCAGTGTTTGAGAATGCCAAATCTTTTCAGTCTAAGTTACACAAGTCCTGATTAGTGTGAAATTTGACCTGAAGGGATGATTTGGCTCCACATCTTTGTCACTGTGTTTGTTCTTTTCTGGGGATGATGTGAATTCATGAATGTGAATGAGGACAAAATGGGAACACAATTTTTTCAGTTCTTAACTTTTGTGAAAAGAGCAGCAATGAAGAGAGATGAGCAGGAGTCCTTGATTACCAACCAGAACTCAGTGGTGAGACTCTGCTGATGAAGACACTGTATCACAAGACATGGAGAAACCATGCTGGTAATGACCTGGGAGCTTCCTCCCTACCAGCTAGCTTTGATAGTGCTGGGAGATGCTCTGCAGGCTGCCAGGGGAGAAATGTCATCAACAGTCTTACTCAGCTGAGAGCCTTGCAAGCTGTCATAGTGACTGACCTGGCAAGGTATGCCCATTGGTGCAAAGTGGCATGAATGGTATGGGGGTAATCAACAACTGCCTGATTGGATTTAAGTTCTATCCACAGAATAGAACTCATGCTTGGCACTGTAAACTGAGCCAAGAACCCATGTCTGGATAGATCACAGGCCCTAGGGGAGAACCATGTCTTTTGCTAAATGGACATGGTATCAAACTGCTTTCTAAATTCTTAACTTTTTCTTTCATTTTTAAAAAATGTATTTTATTTATTATTTTTATGTGTATGTGGGTATTGCCTGCATGTGGGTAAGTGCACCCGTGTCATGCAATGCCCGCAGAGGACAGAAGAGGCTGTCAGACCCCCTGGAACTGGAGTTACAGACAGTTGTTAGCTGCCATATGGGTGCTGGGATTTGAATCCAGGTCTTCTGCAAGAACAGCCAGTGTTCTTAACCACTGAGCCACCTGTCCAGCCCCAAATACTTAACTTTTTACAAATAGATTAGTACAACATTCAGCCCTCATCAGGGAAGCCCCTTTTGCTGTAGATGGTAGTTAATACAGAGACCTGCAACTGGTCAAAGTGCAGAGAATAACTGACTGTGGCGCACTCGGCTCTAAATGGGACATCTCTATCACACACCCTGCCCCGAAGGCTCGGGGAACATCCCAGAGAGTGGGCAGAAAGGCTGTATGATCCAGAGTTTGGGCAGGACTGCTGTGGATCTGTGTTTTCCAGACATGACAGAACTGTTACACACATAAACTCTTGGAGGCAGTAGCTGGCTGTACAAGACCCACACAAGATCAAGCCAGTCTGAATTCCAGCACAGGTAGGGGACAGGCTCGCCAAGTCCCACCCCTAGCTCAGGAAACATGGGCAGTAAGTAGCTACTGTGGCACAGTCGTTTTTCTTCAGGGATGTGTCCCCTGGAAGGTTGCTGGGGTCCCAGCAGATAGTCTCACGCCCATTGCACATAGGGAAAGCACTAATAAGACTCAGTAGGTTAAAAAACAGGCAAGCAGTTGTGAGGGAGATGTGGTTGTGGATGCCTTGGTGGAAGTGGGTAAATGGAGATTATCAAAACATATTTCATAAATGGACTAAATTGTCAAGAAATACATTTTTCAATATATATCTTAATGGAAATTTTGTGCATTTCATATAAAGCATATTAATCATCTTTACACCCCTCCCCATCCACACCCTCCTATGGTCTCCCCCCCACACACACCAGATTTCATGTTTAGGCCTATCGAGTCAAGTTGGTGTGGCCAGATGTCCCTCAGTGCAAGTTCATCCATCAGCCTATAAATAAATGAACACGAAGTACAAATTATCCTTCTGTGGTCAAAAGTTAAAGACCTGTATCAGAAAGGTTGACCTATGTTCCATAAGCCTGTGAAAGGAAATTGTGAATTGTTTTCTTCAGGTTTGAGTTACAGAAGCAATTGGCCACACATTAAAGCCCAGCTATAATCATTCTCATCAGAGATGACAGTATTTCCCATTACCATTCATATGAAATAGCTCTGGACTGGATTGATGTCAGATTTATCTGCTGTTTCAGCTGACCCCGAGATGCTTTTACATTATAGGATCTTTTTCAGGGCATTATTGATCAGGAATTTTCCTGTGTCTGGGTCAATGACACCACAGTCAATTTGGCTCACAATTCAAACACTGGTTTAATTACTGGTCTCCTGGCCCAGGTCAGATGTACACAAAAGGTCATAGCTCCACTCGCATCAGATGCTCAGTCCCACTCACAAAGTTCTGTGAGTCTAACTTTGTGTAAGGAGAGCTCTGCTCCACACTCTATCAAAATCTAATGTTGTCATGACTGTTAATCATTTTTCGCCAAAGTTGCTATGTGGATGAATGTTTGACACACCATTCTGCTTCTAATTTGCCTCAGAGAACTACTTATTACCTTGCCTAGCATGTGCCTAGCTGTTTGCCCTATTGATGGACTAAGGAACACAGGTAGATTCTAAAGGGAAGGCAGTGCCCCTAGGATCTGAACAATAAGATCAAGATGTCTGTCTTGAAGTGGCTTTGATTTACATTTCTCTAATTACTAAGGATGTTGTGCTGGGTAGCTTTAGTATCAACTTGACACACCTTGGTTGAGGGAGCCTCAATTGGGGAATTGCCTCCATTGGACTGGCCTGTGGCCATGTCTGTGGGGCATTTTCTTGATTGTTGAGTGATGTAGGAGGGCCCAGCCCACTGTGGGTAGTGCCACCCCTGGGCAGGTGGGCCTGTGTTGGATAAGAAAGTAGGCTGAGCAGGGGACAGGGAAGCAAGCCAGTAAGCAGCATTCCTCCACGGCCTGTGCTCCAGCTCCTGCCTCCAGGTTCCTGCCCTGAGTTCCTACCTTGGGCTCCCTGATGAACTGTGACCTGGGAGATGTAACATAAATAAACCCTTTCCTCCCCAAGTTGGTAGTGGTTAGAGTGTTTTGTCGCAGCAATGAAGAACAAATTAGGACAGATGTTGAGCACTTTTAAAGGTGTTTCTTGGCCATTTTTATTTCTTCATTTGAGAACTCTCTGATCAGGTTCTTGACCATCTTTTTTTAAAAAAAAACTTTTTTAAAATTTAATTTTTTTATTTTATGTGTATGCATGTATTGTCTGCATGTAGGTAAGTGCACCCATGTTGTGTAATGCCTGCAGAGGTCAGAAGAGGCTATCGGATCCCCTGGGACTGAAGTTACAGACAGTTGTTAGCTTGCATATGAGTGCTGGGATTTGAACCTGGGTCTTCTGCAAGAACAACCAGTTTTCTTAACCACTGAGCCATCTCTCCAGCCCCAACTATCTTTTTATTGGGTTGTTTATGTTTATTTTTTGTTTCTTTGTTTTTTGAATACTTTGTATATTCTGGATACTAATCATCTGTTGGCTGTGTAGTAGAAGGTTTTCTCCCACTCAGTGGGTTTCCTCTTCACTTCCTTGATTGTTCTTTTAGTTTAATAAGGTCCCATTTGTTGATTGTTGCCCTTAATGCCTGAGCAACTGATGTCTAATTTAGAAAGTCCTTTTCTACACCTATATCTTGTAGGGTGCTGCCTATGTTTTCTAGTATTTCAGAGTTTCAGGTTTCATATGGAGGGCTTTGATGTATTATCAAGGGGAAATGATGGAGGGAGGAGGAGGTTACAGAGGAGAAAGAGAGGTGTGAAAAACAAGAGGGAAATGTCTTAGCTCAATAACCCCCTGAAAAATATATACAATAGCTGAACATAAGTGCATGTGTATACCCAAAGGCTATATAACAAGGAACACTGTGCCAGACAGGAGAAACCTCTGGCAGATGCCCAGCCCTAAGTGACACATGTGCAGTGGAACCTCTAAACCTAAGGCTCATGGAACATAGCAGAATAGGGAGTAGGGAGAATACTAACACATTCATCAACTCCAACAAGCAAAACTTCCTCATACAACAGAGTGTGATGCACATAGAAGGCCACAACTGGCTAAGTTTTAAAGAACAAGAGACTTAGAGTGTATGTCTCTGGATAGGATTCCTATATTAAACCTCACCCAGGGCTCAGGGACCATTGTGGAAAAGGAGGTGGAAAGATTGTAAGAGCCAGGTTTGGTGCAGGTACATAAGGAAACGGGCTTTCGGACCTTTGAGAACTTGCTCATATGAACTGGCAGCAATGGTGACAGTGTGCATAAGACCCATGTTGGACTGAATCAGACAAAAATCCAGCATAGAACTGAAGAAGTGGGCAGCAGGTCCCAACCTTAGCCAAGGAACTATTGGCAACTAATTACTGCTGGGTGATGAAGAGTTGGTCTTCTTTAAGGGAGTGACTCTAGATAGGCTGACTAGACTACAGTGGATGAACTTTCGCAGAGAGGCATCTGTGTACAAATGCTTGACCGAATAGGCCTTAACATATGTTCTAATTAGCCTTCAATTGCTGTGACAAAACACTCTGACCAATACCAACTTGGGGAGGAAGGGTTTATTTCCTTACATAAACAAGGCTTACCTGTCCCGGGTTACAGTTCATCACTGAGCAAACCCAAGGCGGGAACTCAGGGCAGGAACCTGGAGGCAGGAGCTGCAGCACAGCCATGGAGGAACGCTGCTTACTGGCTGCTCCCCTGGTCCATGTTCAACCTGCTTTCTTATTAGATACAGGACCACATGCGCAGGGGCAGCACTGCCACCCAGTGGGCTGGGGCCTCCCACATTACTCAATAATCAAGAAAATGCCCCCGTACATGGCCATAGACCAGTCCAGTGGAGGCAATTCCCCAATTGAGGCTCCCTTTACCCAGGTGTGCCAAGTTGACAACCAAAGCTATCCAGCACAACATATATGACAGAATGCATGAAATCCGGTGAGGTGGATGGCTAAGGGGGGTGGAGATGGGGCGGTGTCTAAATTTGATTAAGATCTATTATACGAAATTCACAAAAACTCAATAAAAATATGTACATAAAATTATGTCTGTCTTAGTTTCCCAAAGAGAAGGTGGCATCTTGGTAAGCAGCAAACTCAAAACATCTGTCTCCATTTCCCAATACATACAGAAGAACGTTTAGGCTCCTTAGCATCAAATTTCAGGCCAACCAAGATTTTCTTCAGCCTGTCTTTCAGCATCTCCTCCGTCTCATTTATCAAATAAAATCATTCAATCAACAACAGTCCTCTGAGGGTCAAGGGTCTTTTAAGCACTAGGATAAGTTCTGGTGTTGTCATGTATGTTAAATCTATGGTTTTTCTCCTGGAACTTAGAGTCAGGAAGGAAAAACAGACAAGGGAAGAGGTCATGATGAGACCATCACTCTATCTACCAGCCTCACTATTAATACAGCTAGAGGCTTGTCCTTTAGAATGAATCCATGTGTACAATTGAGTACTGACTCCAAGAAACCCAAGATAGCAATAACTTCACAGCTTCCTTGCCCATGTGGCCTATTTAAAGTCAATGGGTAGCACATTTCTAGTCTAGAGTTCCCGTGAACATCTCAGTATCTGGGAGGGCACCTTGGGATCAGATCTCAGATCTGCCTCATCTGATTCAGTTCAAACTAGTTATTTCTAGGGAAGCCTCAGAACCATCTCTAGACCTGTGATTTTCTACGACTTCAAGATAATACCTCCACACAGACACATGTTCCTTAAGTTTAGGTTGTTTCTTTAGAAGCAGAGCCTGAAACAGGGAACATTTCCCATTGTGGGGTATTTTTGAAAGACTCAAGAGGAAGCCATGAGCAGTTAGGAAAGCAACAGGTCAGGGAAGCTAAGCAAAGATCATAGGATCTACTAAGGCCTAGCCTCACACTGATCTCACGGGAGCTCTGGAGCGTGAAGGTACCATAGAGTTGTCCCACTTGAGGCAAGCAAGCTCTCTTTTGTATCCCCACAACGTGTCAGTCATTGATTGTAGAACAAGCCCAGAGAGAGATAACACCAAGTGCACTTCTGGTCTATTTTCATACTGAGTTGAGTTACTTGGAGAAGGGTGTAGTTGGGAGACTTTGGCAGCATTTATAAGATGAGTGTGCCAGCCCAGTAAAGAGGATCCAGTCACCGAATCAACTGCACCCAGAAAACGTGCACCCCAGAGCAGCTGCTGAACACTTTTGTTGAGCCAGCATTGAAATAGTTTAGTAGAGACTAGCATTTGGGTACGTTTTCCATTTTATATCTCAAAACCAAGTTTCTCCTCTTTGAAATTCCAAATTAAGTGTGAGCAGTAAAAGGATGTAATATAAATATTGAGTTCCCCCCTCAAGGTTTCCACTACTTGTCATTAATAATTAACTGGAGGGCTATTTAACCAAATTCCAGCTGAGTTCACAAAAAGGAGGAACGTTTCAAGAAACATTGTGTTGATGATTCAGTGCCACCCCAGCCATGGACATTTTAAGCATAATCTGTCTGCTTTTCTGCTTGGGAAGATGTTGGGGACTGCAGCAAATGTAAGTGAGGGATCCTATCTGCTTTTGAAATGTATCTTAGTTTTATTTTTGCAGGAACCAGAATTTGATCCGAGACACAGGAAATGAACTTTGACTTCTGAGTATTGATTGAATTTTTCTCTAACATTCAACATGGTTACTGTGTTCTCATGTGAGCGCTTTGTGAGATATTCATGATTTGTATTCTAAATATACCATGTTTGTCCTTGGTTGTTACTCTGTTTTCTGTTCTTTCTCCCATCGTATCACTGGAGAAGTAGCTTCCTGATTGGTATTTTATTTCAAAATGAATGCTTAGGAAGACAGAAACTTGAGCTCTGTTTAGCCATTCTTCTAGCGGACCCTATTAAACATTCTCTGGGATGCAACTGATCAACCTTGATTGTGTGCCTTGTAGAAATCTCACCCCTAGTATGCTTTCTGTAAGCTATCACAGCTTTACCATGGCTAACAATAGTTTGAGAAATAAAATCTATTATCAAGCTTAAGAAACAATAATTTATGTTGATTCTAAGTAAAAATAGTAAAAATTGCCTTTGATTAACAGATTGTATAATTTCATTGCTTGAGCAGATATGTTGTCTCAGCTCCTGAAACATTTTGTGTTGGAGCTTCCGAAAATGTGGTGATTCAAGCTTACGGATACACACAGTCATTTGCTGTGACCATTGCTATTAAAAGTTATCCTGACAGAAGCTTTGCATACACTTCTGACCAAGTTCATTTATCTCCAGAAAATGAATTCCAAACCTCTGCAAATTTAACTGTAGGTATTCATTTCACAGTGTCTTCATATGTGAAATGCTTCCGTGTATAATATACAAATCAACAATACCTTGATACATTTTATATATGCAGATTAAAACTTGACATACTAGGTGACCTCACTGTGAGACAAGTTTCCATTTATAAGTACTGGGAAGTGTTCAGTGAAGAATCAGTTTCTCATTTAGAAGCCATGTAAAGAAATATAAATGTTTGAATGAAGTAGATAAAAGTCAATATGTATTATATATCTTAGATTTTTAAATATTTTCTTTTTATGCTTAAACCAAATGAATTTTATTTCAACAAATTTTTAAACAGTGTTTTAAAAAATAGGAGAAATGTTACATACATCATCATAAAATACATGCACTTAAGGCAATGAAGGCGAAGAGCACTGTGCACACACTATACAATCCCCAATAGACATGAAAGTCATCGGCAAAAGAAAGACCTAGGCTTTCCAAATACAGTTATAAATATAAAGAACATTTTACAATATCGTGTGACAGGCCCCTTAGTCTACAGTCCATCTGACACATGAATCCCCTTCTCCGTTTCCAGTGCTGATAAGCTTTTATCTTTTCTTAATGATTTTTGGTTATTAACCGACTAAAAATGGAATATTTTGCTGGGTGTGGTGGCACACGCCTTTAATCCCAGCACTTGGGAGGCAGAAGCAGGTGGATCTTTGTGAGTTCGGAGCCAGCCTGGTCTACATAGTGAGTTCCATGCCAGCTGTGGCTACAGGGAGACCCTGTCTCAAAACGACCAAAAAAAAAAAAAAAAGAAAAGTATTTTTTATATTTAGAAATTCAAATTGAATCAATTTGACTTTTTTTTTTAAGATAAAGTCTTACTATGCAGCCCAGACTGACCTGGAACTCTGGAGCACATGGTAGAGCCTAGGCTGGCCTCTGCCTGCCTCAAACTCCTGAGTGCTGGGATTATAGGCACATCCAGCTTTCAAGCTGAACCTGATAAGAAAATAAAATACAACCATTTTGCTGGAGAAAAATAATGTGCTGTTTTAGTCTACAAAATTTTATTATTGTTTCACATACAGAGTTATTCAGATTATTAGCATACCTGATAGTGACCACTTTCAGCGTTTTAGGATTATTATGTAATATTCCTCCACTAATTTTGTTTTAACAGATACTACCAGAAGACTTGCCTGGAGGGCCAAATGCAGTTGAATATGTGTATTTAGAAGTTCTGTCTGTCTATTTTTCAAAGGCAACAAAAATCCCACTCCGCTATGACAATGGATATCTTTTTATCCAGACAGACAGACCTGTTTATGATTCTGATCAGTCAGGTATAATAAAAGGGAAAATGGGATTTTGTGATGACTGTTTTTCAGGACAACTGGCTTAGTTTGGGGGGGAAATGAAAATAAATTCCTATAACATACATAAAACCAAAGAACAGGTAAACTAAGACCAAAAATAAATGATAAAAAACAAAGAATAAGCAAAATTTATCACTATTTTAAGAGCAGAATTAGGAAGGGCTTCCTCTATACTGACGCCAAAGCACCTTTCAAAATGGTTGGAGGAAAACAGCCCTGAAGTGATGCATTGTAGAACTTACTCTTTTAACATTTATTATTTCTTGTATATGTAGGGTGTGTGTGTGTGTGTGTGTGTGTGTGTGTGTGTGTGTGCCACATCACTCATGTGGAAGGCAAAGGACAACGTGAAGGAGTTGGTTCTTTCCTTCCTGGGTCCAAACTCAGGTTTCAGATTTGGCAGCAAGTATCTTTGCTCACTGAGCTGTCTCACTAACGCATGTAGAACTTATTTTTGATATACTATTTCTTATTAATGTCTTATTTTTGAGAATTTCATACATGAGTATTGTCTTTGCATTATTTTCATTTTCCAGTCCCCTTCAGTTCCTCCCATGTCCCTCCACTCCTCAATTTCTTGTCGTCTTTTTTGATTATTTTTGTTACATATGCATACACACATTTATGAACACACACACACACACACATACACACACACACATTGCTCTAAGTCCGTTTAGTGGAGCATCTGTGTGTACCTGTGTCTAAGGCTACCCACTTGGAGTTAGATAACCTCTCGGGGAGCTCATCCCTGGAGAAAATTTATTCTCCCTCCCTCAGCATCCGTTGATTGCCAGCAGCTCTCCATCTTTTTAACTTCAATATCATCTCTTACTACGAATATTTCAATTTTAAATTAAAAACGACAGTGATAAACTCAGCTGAAAAATCCCCTAGCAACCTCTCAGACCTTATGTTTTAGTGGAGGTCTCAGCCTTCTTTCAGAAATCCCTCCTCACCAATTATCTCAGGGGAGAGAAGGGAAGGGAAGCGGAAGGGGAAGTCCTGAGCGTGGTTGCACTGGCTCAATGGCTAAGACAAGGAAGATCATCGGGCTTCGCAGAGGGACAGGATCCCATCAATACTTAGGACAGGATCAGAACTCTCTCTTGGGCGCTGATCAGAGGATGACAGTGTGTCTGTGGAGAGGGGTCACCCCGGTGAGCTTTTGTCCTTCCAGGTGCTCAGATACTTAACCATATCTTTCGAGGTGCAGATTCTTGCTGACACCTTCCTTCTGGATGGTCAAAGCTTGCCTGGCTGGGTTCCGTGGATCCTACAGTGCTCTCTCCTCCAGTCTTTCACAGCCTCGGACAGTGAGCTGCAACCTCTCATCTGCCAGTGGCTATGAATACAAAGCAGGTGGCAGCACCTCAGGAATGACACCTGCACACACACACACACACACACACACACACACACACACACACAAATAAAAATGAAAAACACGGGAAGTTAAATGAAAACAGTTTTCAATTTGTAGATTCATATTTTTTTTTATTTTATGTGTATGAGTGGTTTGCCTGCATGTATGTAAGCGCAATGCATGCAATGCTCATGGAGGCCAAAAGATAATACTAGATCCCCTAGAACTGGAGTTACTGGTGGTAATTAGCTGCTGTGTGGGTGCTGGGAACTGAACCCAGGTCCTCTGCAAGAGCAGCCGGTACTCTTAACCACTGAGCCATCTCCAGCAAAATTTATTTATTTATACTTTATGTGTAGAGATTCTTATTTTAAATAAAATAAAGAGAAATGCTTAAAAGATTCCATTTAGGATTTTTTTTCTGATTGGAAAATTTTTCCAATTTTAAAGTTAAGATCTAACATGACAATTTATATTTTCTTTTATGATTGACTTTATACTTTGGACTTTCTCAATTTTCTTTGAAATTTCATGTTCTTTGTGGTAAAGGATTATTAATAATATTATCAGATCATTTACAGTCGAATGGAG